GCCAATCTTCTCCTGGCTGTGGTTCCCAGTCACAATGGCCTGCATTCCATTTAGTCGGATACTGCATTTCCTTCTCGGCTTCCTCTCTTCACCTTTCTCACCGTCATGATTAGCACTTGCGCTTGCTCATTTGCCCTGTCCATTACCTTACTCGAGTATCCTCTCCTTCAGCTTTTGTCATTCTATTGCCGCATACTATTAGGAGGAGAGGGTGCACAAGTGTCAGGGCTCCTTTTCAGCCTGTGAGAACGGCGGCAAGAGAGGCTTCGTGTTGTATGCACCTAATAGGCCAGGTGCGAAAGCAATCTCAGGTTTTTCATGTTGTGGGCCGCGGCACTGGGGCGGTGGCCACTGGCCATTGGATGAAGGATTTAGCTGCACAGGCACGCAGTTGTAGGGCACGATCCCGCAGACATTGAGACTGGGCTTGCAGGGTGCACGTCATTGCACCGGAGGCGCTGATGGATGCCAATCATTTGTTTTCCCAATTTGTAGTGAGGCACACTGTGGAGCAGGCATGTGCGGGGGGCAGTGGTTTGCCGATGGTGTAGGTATTTGCATACCCTCATGGGAAAGGCATCAGCACAGGTGATGGGGTTGTGCACCTGCACATCTGGATGGGCAGGGGTGCCTGCTGTGGAGAGGACGTAATCAATGGCACAGGTGATGGGGGTATGTGCACCCACACCTCTGGATGGGGTGCCTGCTCTGGAGAGGAGCTAGTCAATTGGCACAGGTGATGGGAGTGAGCACCCACATCTGATTTGAAGAATACAGGAAGTCAATGGGGATCAAAGGACATGAGGGGTAGATGAGGAAAGGAGGTCCTCATATAGGATGTTCTGGAGGAGAACATATGTGGAGGTGGTCCTCAAGGAGGAGAAGGGAAGCTCTTAGTTCGCTTAACACTGGTAAGGTGAACAGTTGTGCAGGCCACAAAAAAGAGGGAAAGAAACAAGAGTAGGTATGATCGTCTGTTGTGCTGGAACAAAAGTTAATGAACAATGGTAGTTGTGATTGTATGTTGCGCTGGAGTAAAAGTTAACGAACGAGAGTAGGTATGATTGTCTGTTGCACTAGACCAACTGCAGAATGACATAACGAGAAGGTAAAGTGGGATGCAAAAACTTGACATGGAAAGGTTGAAAGCAGCATTAGAGAGGGAGGCAGAAGATATATCCCTATAAAATTGCATAGCATGTGTGCACCAGAAGAGGATCCTCTCACTAGAAGTCGCCAAGGATCACCTTATGTGAGGGAAATCAAGCCGGTAATGAAACTTGGAAGATTTTTTTTTTTTTTTTTTTTTTTTTTTTGTGTGTGTGTGTGTGTGTGTGTGTGTGTGCTTATACACATCTAGATGTGTATAAGAGACAGGAGAGAGAGAGAGAGAACTCGGTTCTTTAAAACCATCGTAGTAACCTGAGTAGGCAATGAAATTAGCAACGTGTTCAATCCCACAGTTTATTGGCCCCAATCGGTGTCCGCTCGTAAGGACGTAGCCAAGCAGTTCGTTCTTACTTCAGTTAGAAATCCAGGTTCTTCTCTTTGCTTCGTTTGGTTTGTGGAGTATCGGTTAGCTGCTATTGTTTTGTTCGGGAGCTCTACACTAGTCATCTTGACGCTAGTAATCTCGACGCTAGTAATCTACACTAGTAATCTACACTAGTAATCTACACTAGTAATCTGCACTAGTAATCTACACTAGTAATCTCGACGCTAGTAATCTACACTAGTAATCTACACTAGTAATCTACACTAGTAATCTACACCAGTAATCTGTACTAGTAATTTACGCTAGTAATCTGCACTGGTAATTTCGACGCTAGTAATCTACACTAGTAATCTAGACGCTAGTTATCTACACTGGTAATCTCTACTTTCGTAATCTCTACGTTAGTTACTCACGAGTATTCTCGAACTAGAATACCAGTCCTTTACACGGGCACTCTACATTAGTACTCTGCAATAGTGCACTAAGGCTGTGCACTGGTACTCTGGCACTGGTACTCTGACACTTGACTCTGACACTGGTACTCTGCACTGGTACTCTGACACTGGTACTCTGAACTGGTACTCTGCACTGGTACTCGGACACTGGTACTCTGAACTGGTACTCTGACACTGGTGCTCTATGTACTGGTACTCTGCACTGGTACTCTGCACTGGTACTCTGGACTGGTACTCTGCACTGGTACTCTGCACTGGTACTCTGCACTGGTACCAGTACTCTGCACTGGTACCAGTACTCTGCACTGGTACTCTGCACTGG